CACACACACACACACACACACACACACGGACAGGAACCCTTCAGAGACCCTGTGCGGGTGAAGGACAATTGCACGCTATCTTTAGGGTGTAAGCAACCTAGGAGGAAGCCACCTTGTGTACCACACTAGGACAGAGCCCCTGGCCTTGCACACGTAGGGAATCAGAACCCTTCCCCAGGCAGCCCTTCCGTGTGTGCCTCAATCTCCCTCTGTATAAGAAGTGTTTACAGTGCCTTCCTGCTGGGGCTAAGGACAAGATGCCAAGGTCACATGGAGATACTGGGAGGAGGGGAGGATCTGACTACAAAGTCTAGAAAACATTCTTTCGGCTAGGAACTGTGAGGCTGAAGGCGAAACCAAATATCTATAAATCATGCCGGCCAGTCGGTAGTTTTCTATGAGGTGAGGTAAATGGTGGTGATGACGCTGTCAGAAACACTGGGTCTGAACACTGCCAGGGTAGCAGAAGTGTCCTCCCAGGCTGCCCTGGAACAGTATAGTGAGCACCTGGTTCTTAGTAGTTACCTGGTTCCAGAATTCCCTGATGGGTCCAGGGAGGCCCACGGAACCAGATGTTGGCCGGTGAGCCATTTCATCCAGACATATTCAAACACTACAGGGAAAGTCAGTGCCTGCTGAACCTTTGTACATGGATAACATAATTGCCCTCTAATACAGTGTAAAACAAACAAACCAGCTCAATTATTGGGGGTAGAGAATTCAAATAGGTCAAGGAGAAGATGTCCAGGGCCCCGCCTGGACTACTCCACAACCGGGCATCAAAGCCATCTGAAGTTACTCTGGTTCTAACATCTCGTGATTGACAGAGACCCACGGAGTAGGCTGCTGTCTGGAGTGTCTGAGTGACCTTCTCATGTGGTCTGAGAGTTCTCGGAGCATGGTGGATGATTGGAAAGGAGAGTGGGAAGGGTGGAGAGGAAGCCGCTGTCACTAGCCGAGTGCTGGCAGTTGGCACACTCCTCTCCCCCACCCCCCACCACACACAGTGTGCTGTCTAAGACAATTATAGAAGCTACTCTGGCCCAGGCCCAGGACCCTGTCAGAGTACGCAAGAAGAGCATGCAGGTTGAAACTGGTATGGTATCTGTAGTGCTTGGAATTAAAACCCTTTCTGTAGGATCATGTATTCGAACACTTGGCCACAGTTGGGAGGGCCCTTTGAGGAGATGATGGGACCTTTGGGTTGTCTTATAGTTTCTGGAGCTCTGATAAACACCATGGCCGTAAGCAATTTGAGGAGGAGAGTTCATTTTGCTTATACTTCTGTATCTGAATCCGTTCTGAAGGTACTTTGGGGCAGGAAGTGCAGGCAGGAGCCTGGAGGCAGGGGCTGAGGTACAGACCAGGCAGGAGCACGGCTTACTGGCTTGCTCCTCATGACTTGATCAGCTTACTTTGGTATGCAGCTCAGGACCACATGTCCAGGGGTAGCACTGTGCGGGTGAGCTTCTCCCACATCTATCCCTAGGTTCCTCAGACCTATCTACAGGCCAGACTTACTGAGGCATTCTCTTAGTTTGGATCCCTTTTTGCCAAGTTGACAGAAAACTAGCCAGCACAGAGGTTTGGACTTGCTGGAGAAGAAGGGTAGGCTGGAACCCGGATGTCCTCAATCTGTTTCCTGTTCTTTCTCTCTGCTTCCCCTGTGTATATAAAAATGTGGCCAGCCAGCTGTACACGCTGTCATGCCTTCGACTCCTATGGGCTCTCGCCCCCTGGAACTATATATATACACCAAAACAAATACTTTCTTCCCTAAGGTTGGGCTTCCCTGATCATAATATTTTATCATGCCAACAGAAAATTCACTAGTCCGCTCTCTGTGGGAAAGCCAATCTTACAAGGTCCAACTTATTCTTTTCTGAAGAGGGCTGTTCACACTCGGCTATGATGTTTTAGAGTCCTCTTTGTGCCTTTGTATATGTTCAGAGCAGAATCCTATTTGGGACTTTTGTGGAGAAGGGCACACACTTAGTTTTTACACAAATAAGATCATCACTACATTTAATTGCTGGTAAGTGAAGCTCTCGTTAGGGAATGGTATTACATAGCCTGGTTGCACTGTGATTTATCTGACCATTTCTCTCTTTTGATGACTTTCTGAATGTTTCCTGTTCTTTTGTTTTTTTTTTCTGTATCACTAGCCAAAGCTGAAGTCAGTATTTCTCTGTCTTTTTACATAATGCAATTTTGGTTCTTTCCTAGGAAAGAGATGATGTTAGCATGTACAGCGTGGAGCATGCCCACAGACATGATGGTAGTGTGTACATTGTGGAACATGCCCACTCATATGAGGGTAGCATGTACAGTGTGGAGCATGCCCCCTGACATGTTGGTAGCATGCACAGTGTGGAGCATGCCCACTGATACGAAGGTAGCATCGACAGTGTGGATCATTCCCACTGACATGATGGTAGCATGCACAGTGTGGAGCGTGCCCACTGACACCCACAGAGTGCTGTGATGGGTGAAGTGGAACTTCTACGTGAAATGTTAAATTTCTATGCTAACGGGTGTGTGGCTGCTCCCTCATCTTCACCAGCACTTGCCATTGTCAGTCTTCCTCACTTTTGCCTCTTACCATCAGTAATGGATGCAGTAGACAAGCAAGCTTTGAAGCGGCTAATGACTGCTAGGCGGAATGACTGCTCACACATCTCTTAACTTTCTATTGAATTCTGGGGGAAATGCCTATTAATGTCCTTCACGTTTTGCTTCATTTCGCTAAGGCGTAGAGAAATGCAACTACAAATTGAAATTTTATTTGAATTTTTATTCTTTTGAGGTATGATTTTAGGCGAGTCTTCAACTTCTTATTTTCCTGACTCTATCTCTCAAATGCTGGGACTCTAGTTAGATACCACCTACCACTGTAAACAGTAAGAGATTTGTTAACCACTAATGTGATGACAGAGACCCTTAAAGGGTCCCTGCAGATGGTTCAGGGATAAAGGCAACCGCTACCAAGCCTGACAACCTGTGTTTTCAGTCCCTGCGGCCCCACTGGGTAGCAGGAGAGAACTGATTTCTGTGTGCTGTCCTCTGACTTCCACACACATGCCATGACACATGTGTACCCCTTTCCCTGCTCCCCACTTGCAACACAAAATAAAGAAGCAAGTTGTAATAAAAATCTAAAATGAAAAAGACTCATGGTGTTGCTTGCGTGGACAGATACCGCTTAGCAAAGCCTCCCTAACGTTGCCCAGAAATGATTTTTCTCTATGTACACTTGTTGTTAAGACATAACCTCTGAGCTGTCTGAAAAACACTGTAGCTGTCTCACATGAGGTGAGACCTAAGCTCATCCTTTCCCGTACCGAATACAAACTTTTAGGATCGTTTACTGGCTGAGCATTTTCCCACCAGACAGTTGTTCATTCGCATTATTGCTTAAATGTTCTAACTTTCCTCACAGTTGATTTAAATGTTTGCTAGTGCCTTTGTTTCTTATAAGGCATGCCTGTGTGTTTATACAGAAAGAAAGGGCTGGTCGTTTCCTCTGCCAACTGGGAACTTGCTGCAGGTGCGACTTCCTGGCTCAGTAGGAGTTCGCCAGAGGATGCTGAAGGTGCCGGTGATGGTCTCCTAAATCCATCACCTTTTTGTAACTGCTGGGAATTTAGAATTCAAAGGACTAAAGCTGGTGAGACTGAGCAACAGGTGGGTGTGCTGCCGGAAGTGTGCGCGGAGTGAGAAATGTGCCGGAAGAAAAGGTGGTTCTCTAAGTCTTTATGTCTGGGAGCTACAGAGCTTTGGGGTGTAGGGAGCAGGCAGCTGCAGGAGGTAGGTCATAGCGTAGTCAGCTCAATGTCTTCATTTAGTCACCAGTTTAGCAAGTACCTCTACAGCACATGCTAATGTGTTGAATGTTGCTTAAGTACGAGCCATATGAGAAAGATGAAGGACCTCTCAGAGTCCGCATTTGAAGAGAGGCTGGATCTGTTGTGGTAGCTATCCCCCCACTCAGGACGCTAAGATGGAGACATGGGTAGCTTGAGGCCAGCATGGGCTGGTTCAAGGTTGACTTCAGCTACATAGGGAGAGTCTATCTCCAAAAACAAACAACGAAGATAATTGTGTGTGTATATATGTGACCAATGTCATCAAGAACAACAAAGATCTTAGGGTCTGGGACAGGCAGGAGTCAAGAGCCCTGAGCCCAGAGGAAGAGGTTCCAGCATGTGTGGGCAGCCAAGAGGAGGGGAAGCTGCAGGAAGTGGGCAAGGCGCGCAGGAAGGGACAGTGTAGCTTTGCTAGGGAGCTAGGGAGTGCTAGGGAGCCTACACTGGCCAGGTTGGTGCTGTAGAGACAAGCCTTCTGATAAACTGCTTCAGTAGTGTGGTTAGGCCATGTTGATGTTAGGGGATGGCTGTCCATTCATGAGCGTATCTATGATTCGGTTCATATAGTGTGAGATCGTGTTTGGGGATGTGTGTGTGTGGCGCTCAGAGTATGTTCCTTACATGCTGAGTATGTCTGTCAGTGTGGATGCTGTAAACTTATATACACTAACGTACCGTGTCTGTGTGGATGTTCACATTTATGTGTGTAAGAACCTAAGTGCTTGTATGAATTCTTCTTTTCATATAATGTGTATTGATATTTTGCCTGCACATCTCTCTGCACTTTCTGGGTGCAGTCCCCGCAGAGGCCAGAAGAAGACATCAGATTCCTTGGGGCTGGAATTACAGATAGGGTCATGTGATTGCTGGGAATGAAATCTGTGTGCTCTCAAAGTATAATCAGCGCTATTAACCTCTGAGCCACCTCCCCAATCCCTGGGCTTGAGTCTTTATGTTTGTACACAGGCTTGAGAGCACGTGCCTGTGTTTGTAGTTTGTGTTCCTGAGAACACCCCAGGCAGCGCTCACAGAGGGAGATGAGCTCACACTCGGCCCTTTCCTGGTAACCTGACAAGGACTTGACCCTTGTCAAAGGTCACAGAACAGATCCGTGTCACTGATGACATCACAGAATAAAGCCAGGATCCTAGTGATCATGTGGTTACTCAGGCTGGGGCTGGTTGGAGGTCTTCAGCACAGCCCACACCAGCTCTCACCGAGATTCTGGGTGCTGGTTTGAAGTCATGAAACACCATCTTATGGAACACAGGGGAGAACAGACACCAATCAGTGGGACCACGATCAGCATGGCCAGCCCAGAGTCCACAAAGGAGAACACGGGCGTGTGCTGGCCAGGTGCTCAGTAGATGGGGAAGGGGCAGGTTGGTCTCTGATGTTATCTAAGAGCCGTGTTGATCTGACGAAGTAGATGGGGGAAGAGCCGTGAAGAAAGAGATCATTGGGGGAAAGCTGGTTCTTCTTAGGCTGCTGTGCATCTAAGGAGTTATTTCATGAAATATATAGATGAGAATGTAACTGTTCTCTTTCATATATTCATTTTAATGTGTTTGAAAAAAATGTGTCAGTCATATAGTAATATAAACATTCCTTTATAGTAAGCTAATCTAGAACGACAACTTATTTCAGGAAGTGTATAGATGAGAATGTAACTGTTCTCCTTCATATATTCATTTTAATGTGTTTGAAAAAATGTGTCAATCCTGTAGTAATATAAACATTCCTTTATAGTAAGCTAATCTAGAACGGCAACTCAATGGCCACCAGGATGTGTCTTTGGGCAGCACTTTAGGATAAGCTGCTCTTGGAGCCAAGAGACTCTGCCAGGCATGTACATCCTCTTTGCCTCAATTTCCTTATCTGCTGGATAAAACTCCAAATAGACTCCTTAGGCTTGTTTTAAATCTTAAAGGACTCAAGGCAGGGCATTCACTTGGATGGGGAAAGGGACATAATGTATATCCACAGAGTGGATGAAAGGACCTCTGGATGAGGTAGAGAGAAGTCACGGAGGAGAAGCTGGGACTTCACCACTAGCTCCATTCTTGATTTTCAAGCGAGTTTTATTGAGTTGGTGTTGCATACATGGTGTGTACAGTAGAAAGCTGTGATGCTGTCCATCTGAGTGGCAGCTGCAACCAAGCACACACTGTTGTCATGATCTCAGACGTTCCCGAAGGCACCCGTATGTCTTGTCCACCCCTCCAGCTCTTGGTAATAATTGTTCTGTCCCTCTAGATTTGCTTTTTCTAGAATGTCTTCTAAGTGGACTCATGTGGTGGCCTTTCCCACTTAGCAGCTGCATTATCTCTTGTGTCTATTCTGCACACATTCCTGGTTCATCCTGTGGTTGTACCACAATCTACTTTTTTGGTCTCCTGGGTGCTGGCCTTTCACACATCAGTTGATAAGATACACACACTCTTTTATTGTTATCTCCCTATGAGGTAGCATTACGGTCATCTCTGATGAATAGTAGGCACCTTTCCCAAAGCCACCAGAGCCTGCATGATTCTATTTGTGGCTTCTCAGGAAAGTTACGTATGGCGACTTTTGAGAGCACTGATGAAACTGTCCTTCCATTTCTCAGGGACCATGAGGAGGAACGAATCATCTCCGCAGCCAGGGCCTGCCTTCCTCCCAGAGGACGACATCTACTTGGCAGCCCGGACACACAGGATGCTGGGCTGGAGCAGCTCCCCGTCCTCCCAGTCGTCCTCAGAGTACCAATCTTATTCTCAGTACCAGTCCTGGGCCTCCAGCAGGAGCGAGGAGGAGCAGGATACCCCACCTGAGAGCGTGTGTGCCCTGTACACCCATGTGCAGACCGTGCGCGGTGTGGCAGTGGCTTGGGAGACTGACGATGGCTTCGAGCCCGTCACCAGGAAGCCCCTTATCCGTGAGGCTGAGTTCATCAAGCGACAGCGGCGGAAAGGCTCCTCCTTCGAAATGGCCTCCAACACAGACCTGCGCTGGGAGCTGGAAGCCTGCAAGCACTATTGCCCGGAGCCTGAGGACTCTGTGGACTGCTGCTTGCAGGAGTTGCGAGCACCACCAGACTGGTTGGTCACCACCAACCATGGCCTTCGCTGTGTGGCCTGCTGTAGAGTCTTCCCCACGTTGGAGGCACTGCTGGACCACGCCCAGCATGGCATCCGCGATGGCTTCAGCTGCCAGATATTCTTTGAGGAGATGCTGGAAAGGAAGCGGGCCCGGGATCAAAGGCAGGACCAACAGCCTGTAGAGGAAGAGCAGAGCTCTTCTGACAGTAGTGAATGTTCCAAGCCCTGCACCAAGGTTCTTCCCAAGCAGCCACAGCAGCAACAGCAGCAGGAGCAGCAGCAGGAGCAGCAGCATCCACAGCAACAGTCACTGCAGCCGCCACAGCAGCAGAAGCCAGAGCAGACGCCACAACAGCAGAAGCCACAGGAGCAGAAACAGCAGCAGCAGCCACAGCAGCAGAAACAGCAGCAGCAGCAGCAGCAGCAGAAACAGCAGCAGCAGCAGAAGCAGCAGAAACAGCAGCAGCAGCCACAGCAGCAGAAACAGCAGCAGCAACAACAGCAGCAGCAGCAGCAGCATCCACAGGGGAAATAGAGATTGGAGGTGAGGTGCCCACCCTCCCTCCAGCATCATGGGCTGCTGCTCCTTTTCCAGCCAGCAGGACCAGAGCCACCAGAGCAGGGGGAGAGGACCAAGGTGGTGGTGGGGGGAAAGCCATCCATGTGGCATGTGTAGCAACAAGGTGGGAGGGGTAGGAGCCTTTCCCAAAAGTGCAGCATTTCCACCAGAGTCCATTTCCAAACCAGAATCCAAAGAAGAGGGCTTCAAGAATTCCTGACGGTGGATGCAAAATAAGAAACATGCAAGCAGGTGGCCACGGGGGTTTCCATTTTTGCTGCCGGATCCGACACAGTCCGCATTTGCCGCTCAAGCACATGTGACTCACAGAGGGAGCCAACTATAAATGAAGCTTCGGCCCTATTTTTTTCATTGTTAGGAATCTGTCATATGCCCTAATTCTATGTCTTATGTTGTTGGGATTAAACTTGAATAAGACAAAGTGGTTCCAAGTGTCTGAGTGAACCATGCTACCTGGTTGAATAACCCTTATCAGAAATGCCAGCTTTTTCCCTCCCTCCCAGAAGTGCGACTATTTGCCATTTGCTTAGTGAAATGTCTTGAGAATGGGACCCATCAACACCATACACATGTATCCAGAAGGGGGTCTATTCAGCATCTGTACTGCCCTTGTCTGTCACTGGGCTCAATCACGAGGTCAAGTGTGACGTTTTCCGCTTGTGACACCATGTCAGTGCTCAGAAAGTTTCAGACTGAGGAACAGTTCAGCAGTTTGAATTTTGGTTTCTAGGACTGGGGATGCTCAACCTGTCTGCAAGCTCCATGCTGCCCATGACAAAGTCAATTGCAAAGCAAAGGGTTAATCTCATCAAGAATGTCCAAGGACCCAAGAGGAGGGTCCCTAAGAGAAGTTGTCTGATCAGAAGGTGCTTGCATACAACACAAGCCAGGCAGAATACCATGCAGGTTTTATAAAGACAGCGTTGTCAACACTATGAGCTAAAGGATTCTTTGTGTAGGCCAGGCATTTTCCTTCCTGTGACATCAAACATACCCAGGTAGTAACTGTGCCCCAGAGGTAAGATTGCTCCAGGTTAAAAACCCATGAACTAGGTACAATGAGGACCTTGGCTCAGAGAATGCCTTGGTGCATCCAAAGAAGTGCCAGCCACTTGACCCAGCTGCAAGGCTGGAGATATTGCTCTTCATCCCTTCAGCGAAGATAACACTGACCATGTGGCAGAGACTGACCAGGCCCAGGAGCAAGAAGAGGAGAAAAGGAATGAAAATAGGTGTAGGTGCTGTTTGGGGGACCGTAAGGCCAGTGGGGAGGGTGAACTGATTCAAAATAATAGCAAAAGGGCTTTTCCTTGACCTGCTGGGCCCTGCAGAGCTCACCAGGGCACTTTTCATCTGCCTTAGCCTTAGCCACTTCGCTTGCCATGTTCTAGCCACACTGACCTTGCTTAAACTAAGATTTCAAACCTCAGAGCCCTGGCACACGTACTCAAGAGGGATGCAGTTCTTGCCCTGTCTCCTGGCTGACAGGCCGCTCTGCTCTGGAATTTTATCATTCATGTCACCATAGCTCATTCCTCATTCCATGTGCTGAAGAAAACAGGAGACAGGATCAGGCCCACACGTTTAAACATACAATGTAGAGTGTGAGATTGGGAGAAATAGCAGAAGGAGAAAGCGGGAGGTGGGAAGATTTGTAATCTGGTGCAGGAGTCTAGGCCAGGAAAGGTGATGATTTGGAGGGGGCAAGAGGAGTGAGTTCATTCGAAACGTATTTGGGGAATCAAGTGTGAAGGACGTGGAGAGGAAGGATGGGCGCACCAAGGTGGAGTCTCCAGCTGATAGCAGGAAAGAGTCTGATGACTGATACGGGAGACTTTGGTGGAAGTTTGGAGTATGCCTGTGAAAGCATGTGTGAACATGTGTGTGAACATGTTGTGAGCACGCACATATGCCTTATGTGACTGTGTCTGTGTGTGAGCATGGTCTCCACATGGACATAGTTCTGCCGTAGTGGTCGGTTGGGGCATATGAAATTCTCAGTGCTAATGGCAAGTCAGTAGAGATGTTGACTATGAAGTGTTTGCTGAATTAGACACAGAACAGCAGACAAGTCTGAGTTGGAACTGCGCATGATTATGCTAACAGAATTCCAGCAGGGGACCAATGAGACTCTAAGGGACTGATGTGGAGTTAGACTGTGTGGGTTGGGAAGTAGAACTGGGTAGGTAAGGCTAGGGAGAGGGCTCAACAGGTGAAAGCCAGGCTTCCAACTAAAAGGTCAAGAAATGGGGAGGAAATACTTCATAGGATTTTTCTTTGGAGCCAACTGATTTGAGGAAATACGGTCTTCAAGGGTGGTTAGTTGAGGGAGTTGAGTGAACCGAAGGCAAAGCTGTGTTATTTCCTCTGGGTTTTAGGAAGCAGGTTCAGTGACTGAGAAGAGTGGGGGGGGGTCAGATGGGCACTGGTCAGGTGAAGACATGAGACAAATCTTTAGGGGCCAGGCTGAAACTATGCTGATGGCGAAGCAACCATGGGCCAGAAGGAAACTGAGAACAGAATCAAGCAATGTACACTAAGGAAAATAACCTAGCGGAGGGAGAAATGCAAGAAAAAGTCAGGGAAATCCAGGACCCAGGCAGGGAGGGGTGAAAAGAAAGTAAAAATTGACCTGGGTGTAATCAGCTCTGGGTCCTGTTGCTTGTGGGTGGTAGTTGGGTCAGGGAGGGCTTGTGAGGGCAAATTATGGAACCTGAGTCGTCCCCCCACCCTGCCCCGCCCAGGCAATACCAAGGAGCTCTTGAGAGCATATCAGACTGTCTTTGTAAAAGACGCTGGTGAACATGATGGAAGAGAGGAGCAGCTTGGCTGTGGACAAGGGGTCCAGGTGGTCTGGCAGCTGGAGGGACTCAGGGAATTCGGAGGATTGTAACTATGGAGTCTGCCTCGTGTTTGCTGAGGGAGGTGACCCCCATCTTTTCTGGGCACCACTCTGGCGGTGAGTGTTACCACTAAAAGAATGGAGAGGGGGTTAAGGAAAGAAGGAGTGGGAGATTAACTAGCATCCTGGATGGTAAGCTTGAGAAGCATCTAGAAGGGAGCCGGTCTGAAAGGCGCAGAATGTGGAAGAGGGGTACTTAGGAATGGAGATGATTTGTGACTACCTACACGTGTATGGCTAACTGAGCCCACGATGTGCCCCATGGGCCTCGTGTAGGATGTATTCCCTCTGTTGGTAGCAGAGAATCTGTTGTGAGAGCCTAATCCGTTTTTAAAAGGTTGTCTGAATGTACTTTGGAAGATGCTAGAGGATCTAGATGCGAGTCATAGAAAAGCTATTTCTGAGTGGACTCGATTGGCTGAATGGGTAGGTAGAACCCACAGACAATCTAAGGACAGAGGAGACTGCTGAGCCCCAAAAACACTAGTGAGAAGGGAGATACCTTGATATCAATTTCAGTAGGTGAAGAAACTAAAGTCAGACACAGTGGTTCAAGTCTAGAGCTTCAACCTTTGAAAGAGATGTTTACATGTGTTAACCCCTGACAGTCTGAAGGCTTTATATTGTTTAAATTGCTGTATTCATATTAAATTGTATGCGCTCTCTACAGCCTGACAAAACGTAGCGCACAGCCTCATCTCTTTTTGTGTTGGTGAGTGGCCCAAGGCTTCATCAAGGTCACATGGCTATGCATGGTGGGGTAAGGTTTCTCTTCCAGCCGCTTGACTCCACACCTTCCTGTAACCATGACGCTGAGAGTTTAGCTTGGATGAGGACCCAGATGGAGGTGTCTAGGAAGGCTCATTGTGTTCATCCTCACAGGCTGTGTTGGTTTTAGATTAAATAGCAGCAGCCAGCTATCAGAGAAGAGATGAAGGGATGTAGGACAAATAAAGGAAAGCGGGTGACGTGGATGGGAGAGAGGATGAAGTGACGCTGTGCACAGTGACCGGCCCCTGCAGACTCCTTTGCAGTGATCTGGGACCTCCTGGGGCCTCCACATAGGACTTGTACCAGAGTGTGAGAAAAAAAAAACCTTCTAGCGTTTTAAAGGGGGCCACAAACATTCGAAATGATAAATCACTTCAAACTCTTTATTTTCCCAAACCATAGGGGGAAAATAGAACTCATGTCCCAAAACCCACATAAAGGCGATGGCAAAGGCTGGAAAGGATGGCACTAAAAATCAAAGGATGAATTAATCTCCTACGCACACATGACCATCAAATTTAACAAAGTATAAAAGGTGTAATTCACCTTGACTAAGTTCAGGTTATCTCTAGACTAAGGATAGTTAAAAAATTATTACATCTGGCAATAATTAGTACTGAAAGAACAATCATATTTCTCTCAATAAATATGAAGTGGACACGAAAGGCAACCTCTTGAGTCCACGCCCACTCCAGGAATGCACGACTGTGCACGCATGTGTCTCCATTTCTCATGATGCCTTGCTTACATCTATATTAAACTCTTTCCTACTAAACCCCAGTCTTGCTGCAAAAAATATAAAAGATGATACCATAAGTGGAGGTAAACATAGATATTTGTGATCAATTGTTTTTCTGATACAGGCATCCAGCAAAAATAATCCAACGGGGGAAAATTAATCTTTCCAGCATTCAAAACCAGATACAGCTGGGTATCTGCACACAGACATTGGAGTTGAGGGGCTGAAGAGATGGCTTTAGTGGTTAGGAGCACTTGCTGCTCATGTAAAGACCTAGGTTCAATTCTCAGCACTCATATGGCAATTGACAACTGACAGTAACTCCAGGGGACCTAATGCTAGCTTCTGACCTCCGTGGACACCTGAACTCATATGACACAAATACATATATTCAGGTACATACACATGCACATAAAAATAAGTCCTTAAAAATAATGGAGTCGGATGCCTACCACGTCATACACACATGCGCACACTCATACACACACACACACACACACACACACACACACAGGAACCATAGATGTAAAATCTGAGACTTGAAGACTTGTCTACACCGAAGCTTATATGTGGCTATTCAGAAGCAACATTACTCATGGTATAAAAACATGAAAGCACAGCCTGCATGCCCACCCAATGGTGAACAGATAAGCAAAGGTAGTATTATCGGTATACAGTGGGGCATGATCTAGCCATAAAGCATGCACTGACCACATGAATGAACTTGAATGCCCCGTGCAAATGTGAAAGAAGCCAGCATAAAAGGCTTTCTAATGTGCAACCTTGCACACGTATATATATATTCATCTATATATCCATATAGGTGAATCTATAGAGATGGTAGCATATGAGTAATTGCCAAACAATCAACCAAGGGGAGCCAGGTGAGCGATACTAACCTCTATGGTGCTACTTCGTGGCATATAAATGCATTTCCAAATTGGCAGTGATGGGTATGAAGCTTTGTAACTGTAACAAGGCACTCAGTGGCAAACTTGAAACAGTCAAA